GTGGCATCGACTTCTAAGGTTCGAGTTTGAGAGTGTCCGGCCAGTTTACTTTCAGTATGAATCGAAGGCACTAGTGATCAAAGACCTCCAATCGTCGGATGTCCTCAGCTCTCAGCGGCCAGGTTTCGCAACCGTATAGTAAGACTGATCGGACCGCTGTGGCAAATACTCTGAGTTTGTTTTTGAGACTGATCTCGTTCCGGCGCCACAGGGTGGTTCGGAGCTGCACGAATGCCATTCGGGCCGTGTCGGTACGCCGCTTTACATCATCTTTGGTTTGTTCGTTAGGCAGGATGATGGACCCAAGGTACTTGAAGTCCGATACGATTTCTATTGTTCGACTACCCAGTTACAAGGGATGTTCCGCTTGGTCAGGTGGAGTAGCGAACATCAGTTTTGTTAAGATTAATCTCAGAGGCATATCTTTTGATACGGTCGAGAGATGTTTGCAGGGAGATCAGATCCTCTCTAAGAACTATCATGTCGTCGGCGAGTTCGCGATCAGTAATCCAGCAATCTGCGGAAAATTCGACGCCTTGATAACCCTCCATTGCCCAACGCAGAACCCAATCAACGGCGAAGTTGAATAACACGGGCGATAACAGGCATCCTTGTCTTACTCCTGACCTCAAATCGAAGGGATGAGACTCTTCGCCGTAAGCACGGATACGGGCTTTGGTTTGGTTGTAATGCGATCTCACTATATCGGCCAACTTATCAGGGACGCCATTTGCAAGCATTCTGTCACAGTGACTCGTGATCCGCTGAATCGAATGCGGCGCGAAAGTCAATGAAGCATGTAGCGGTGGGGCGCTGAAACTTGTAACGGTGTTCCAGAATTCGCCTTAGGATGAAAATCTGATCGATACATCCTTTGCCGGGTAGGAAGCCGCCTTGATTTGGCCGAGTACGTGCATGCCTCACTGTAGCAAAACGATTATGCACGAGCTGGGGACACGCTTTTGCAGCCACGTCTGGCAGACTGATGCCCCGGTAATTCTCGCATAGTGTCTTGTCGCCCTTCTTGGGGAACGGAAGCGAAACCGAGGTGTTCCAATCATTTGAACCTGTTTCGGTTTCCCAGATACAACGAAGGAGCGATTGAAGCGGTTTGAGGGCATTTCTTATATATTTCTGCCGAGATTCCGTCTTCAACAGGCCCCTTGCCAGACTTCAATCGACCGATCCCTGTGGTTATTTCCTCTACCGTTGGATGATCACAGTCGACCTCGAATTGGGACGCCAAATGGGGATGAATATCCGCCGGATTGCTCAGCGGATGACTGAGAAGTCGACTAAAATGTTCTGCCCATCTGGTCATTCTACCATCGATATCGGAGATCAGTCCCCTGGTGGAGTCGCGCAGAACGGGTTGTAAAGATTTCCTTCTACCGGACCTTGATCGTATGAGGCGAATCTTGATCGCTATTTCGCTCCAGTTTTTGGGGAATTGGTTGATTCCCGCCTGAGTCACTGGTAATCGTGGTGGCCAGCTAGACGAGCGTCCCTGGCCAAGGTTGAGAGACGGATGGTTTCTTCTGATATCCAATCTTTGTGGCAGCGTTTCGTGGTACCAACTTTGCTTAGTGCAGCTTGTTTTATTGCAGCCATTATCCTGGACCACTGCACATCAGTGGAGTCTGTTACAATGACGGGTGGGGCAGACTCATTTGCCAGTCGGGTTTCAATTTCATCCATCAGTGTTTTTGATTTCTCGCTACACTCTAATGGGCCCACG